AGAATAATTGGTGGATTGAGGAAAAAATCTTAAAAGCTAATTTAATTTAAGGCCTTTCATTGCTTGAGGATTGTGTATGACCCACTGCCTTTCTTACTAGGATTTTAAATGGAGATCATCTTATGATGAAAAGGGACAGAGAAATGGCCATTTTGGTCAAACTTTGTAAATGATGTATTCCACAGTTGTGCCAGACTGTGTTGGATGTGAAAAATTTGGTTTATGCTTCAATGTGACATGAGACAGCAGATAGGTGATTATGTCATTTTGGACATCGTTTTCTGACAGAGTAGACTGAAGACGTGGTGGGAAGAAAATTATAATTTCTCCTGTGCCCTCACACATCACTCCCATTGTAGCATAGCTCATAGCTAAGCTTATAAGCAATAGTGATAGCAGGATCGATTTCCAAGATGCAACTCCCCAGAGGGTGACATTGCGGATCTCTCCAAGTCAAGATATTTATTTGTCTATTTGTACTTTTTACTCTTCTTTTGGAGTCAAGACACACTTTGGAAATGTCTTCTATGGTGACCTCATTAAAATTGAGAAAGCGAAGTCACTTCTGACTTTTCAAACCTCTCTTGCTGGAATTACATCCGGAGCTAGCATGCTATGCTAACTTGATGCCGGGCCAGCTCCTGATGAAGAGCTTACCTGACAACAACAGGCCAAAGAAGAGATGTGGCAGGTGAGGAGGAGCTTAGCGAAGGCTTCAGTGCTTGTTAGCAATGATAGGCTAACCCTCCCGGTCATACTTTTTGCAAATATTCAGTCTCTGGAAAACAAAGTAGACGAGCTCCATGCCCTAATCTCTGCAATACAGAATTGTTCCATATTATGCTTCTGCAAAACCTGGGTAGGGGAGAGGATGCCTGATGAGGCAATAACACCAGTTGGATACATGATTTTCAGAGAGGTAAGATTAGTGGAAGAGTAAGTCTTGTTCTGAAAACATGGAATACCTGACTCTGAAGCTTTGGCCATTTTATCTGCCCAGAGGACTGCAATGCATTATTGTGAGTCTTGTGTATATCCCCCCTACTGCTAAAGAGGAGGCTGCACTGAAGAAGCTACACAGCCATTATCTAGCCAGGAAAGCTAATGGAGAAGCTGATAGACCTTGGTGTCCCAACTCCCACCTGGAACTGGATTCCAGACTTCTTGACAGACAGACCACAGGTGGTGAGAATGGAAGGACAGGAATCGGCTGTGCTCACTTTCAGCACAGGATCCCCGCAGGGATTTTGCCTCAGTTCAAAATGTTTTACCCTGTACACCCATGACTGTGTCTCCACCCAGGAAAATACCATTATAATTAAATAATGGTATTTTTATTAAATGATACCACCATATTGGGACTTATCAAGGAAGAAGACAATTTAGAATACAGAAACCTAGACAGCATCTTTACTTATGGAGACAAAAATAACGTCATCCTCAAAACAGACAAGACGAAAAATATAATACTGGACTTCAGGAAGAACCCCTCCCCACTACAGCCTCTCATCATTAAAGGGACTGAGGTGATGGGGTCGACAGCTACAGATTCCTGGGATTGCAGGGTACATTGTACCTGAGCCGGAGTCTTAACACCACAGCTCCAGACAAAAAAGCCCAACAAAGGCCTCTCAGGAAAGCTGGTCTGAATCAGAGCCCTCTCATCCAGGCCTACAGAGGTCTGATAGAGAACGTCCTAACCACAGGCAATACTGTCTGGTACAAGAACACCACAGAAGCAGAAAGGAAGGCTCTGCAAAGAGTCCTAAAGACTTCTGATAGAATTGTAGGGACAAAACTTCCTTCCATGGACTCAGTGCTCAGCGCTGTCAAAACAGAGCAGAGAGAATTACGGAGGGCTCACTCCAACCAGCTTACTCTCTGCTCAGAAACAAACACTGTACATATAGCAGAGCTGTCACAGTCTGTGTTTCTTCTGCTTTTAGTTTTCTAATGTTTCAGTGTTTCCCTGTGTGTTCTGTCGTTCCTCCTGCTCACATCATTCATCTTGTGTCTCCTCCAGGTGTTTCTTGTTGTCTCCTTAAGTTCTCCCTTTATATTCTGTGTCCTGTCTTCGGTGTTTATCTGATCATTGTGCCGTTTCCCCAGCCTGTGTGGTTATCTTCCATGCTCCTTTGGGTTCTTGTGTCCTCCTGAGAAGTTTCTGTAAGAGTTTTTGAGCTGCCCCATCAGCCTTTTGATTTATTAAATACTTTATTTTTGCACTTCGGGATTTTTGCCTGCAACCTCACAAGAGCAGAGCAGAGCAGACAGTGTCATACACAGAACAAGTTTTTTAATAGTTTTTTTTCCTGCCACCATTAGACTGATGGCTAAACAAAATGACTGAGCAGGTGCAAAATTACTGTGTAAATATAGTGTAGATGTATTTTATTATTTTTATTTCTGTGTTAAGTGCTATTTGACATGTTTGACTATGATACTGAGAGCTCTGCACAAGAATTTCAATATACATGCACTCCTGGTTTATTCACAAATGGCAATAAAGTTCTTTGAATCAAGATTTTTTTTTAATTCAATGATGTGTCTGTTGTGTTGGGTTAATAGTCAGAGGAGGATTTTCTTTTCTTGTTAACGGCGGAGCTGGAAGAATGACTGAACGTCAGTTACAAGTTTACGTAGTCAGTAGTACCACACCAGCTGCTCATCAAAGCTGTTCATCTTGGTGATTTAACAAACTGCTTTTGTGAATGGATCAGCTAAATAACGTGCAGAAAGAAGCGCTGCTCGGAGTGCAGCTCTGCATGAACAAATTCACCCACAAAGTTCTGACCGATCTCACACTGAGAGCCACAAGGGCCTCAGAACAGAGTTCTGACTGGGGGCACTGCACTCGATGGGTGTTAGGGATAACAGATGTGGAAGCTACACACATTTTTTTGTCACTCAGCAAGGTGAACAAGACATGCAACTTAAAGTATAAACCAAGCTTTAGAGCTGAATGTGTATTGAGGACGTCTCGGCTGCCACCACACCCAGTTGCAGCTCAGTGTGTGTAAAATTGCCTACATTTTAGCCACTCTTGTGTTGGATGAAGTCAGTTTGGTTTTGTGAGCATCTCAATTTGAGTCAACTCCAAAAGTTACTCAGTTGTCGATGTATGTCATATGATTACTTTTAAAAAGTTTAAATAAAATCCATACTTTGACTCATCAGATATTTTGCAAGCACAACAGACAAACGAACTATCATGCAAGCAAAAATGTTATCAGTTTTTGTTATACATTTTTTAATCAGCTGTTGGTAGTTGTTTATAATTTTCTCATCAAACAGATCAACCATACTAAGAAGGGATTAGATTGTCATTTGAAACATACAATAAAGAAGGTTTGAAATGTATTTTTATAGCCAATCATACATCTGTTTAATATTTAACACAGAAGCTTGTTGAATAACATGGAGTGTGGAAAAAAATGAAGAGACTAAGTCAATATTCTGACAGTATGATAGATATCAAAGTCAAACCTGTTACAATTAGCCACACAGGTCACTTGGACAAAGGCTAGTCTGGATATTCAGATCAATTCCTCAATATTACTCTGCATAATTTACTGTAACAAAATGTCATTTTACCAACTGTCATTCAGAAGATATCCTCTAGGCACTTCAAGGTAATCCAGATCGATTTCCACTCCACCCAGAAATGCTCTCCCATGGCAGCGTTCTCATCCTATTTGTTTAATGCTTAAATTAAAATGACCCCTTCCTGTGCCGAGGTAATTATTTGTTTAGAAATCATCTGGCTTAGCTTCACATTTCACTGCAGATTTCTGCTATTTTTACCTCCAGACAAAATCAAATAATCAGACAGAATCATGATAAGCGAGGGAGGCTGAAAACCATCAACATATCAGCTCAATAACATAAACACTACCAGTAAATAGGAAAAAATATCAGTTAAGACATGTAAGTTTGGTTATTAGTGGCATGCAACCACCTTAGAGCAAAATGTTCACTGCTTTGCATCTCAAGACAACAATGAGCTTTGTTTTGACTCCAATGCTGTAAGAGAACTTTTCTCATTTTTCATTTTTCCTCCTCGAATACATCAACATGTCTTCTCATCTGCTTCATTCAACAGACAGCACTCTGCCATAATTAGATCAGTGCTAAACTGCATTAACCGTGTACACAGTTAAAGTAATTGAAAAGCACTCATTTGCATAAACAAACGGCTGTTTCCATGATAGCTTTCATTCATAACATATTAAAAGAAGCACTCCATCAAAAAAATCAGTTTATCAGTATTATTGTTGTCAAAATGAAACTTAAGTTCTAAAGTGTAGGAGTTAAAGGCAAACATCACTGAGCTAGATCATTAATCTTTTCTATAGAATGTAATACCAAGGCGCAATTATTGTGTATTTCATAATCACTGCCAGCGAAGATCTGTCAAGAGCAACACAGTTTCTCCTAAAAAAATCAAGAAGTTTTATGACAAAATTATAGTTTGACAAATCCATGTTGTAAAATAAGCACAATCAGAGCTTCTCTCATCCTCTTTCTCTTATGCTCTATATCACTGTTTTCCATCATTCACTGTCTCCTCTCTTTAAGGATCAGTGTATTTTTAATTGTTCAACACATATAGACTAAATTCAGCTCTCTAAATATAGAAACTAATCCAGTTGCATTACCCAAAAGCCAAGTTATGCTGTTTTTGTTTTTGACTGGCATCCAGATTATTTAATCCAAAAACGGCTCTGTAAAAATATAAAATATGAACTTAACTGGAGCTGTAGTGAAATCTGTCAAATTAATTGAGCGTTTCTTTTGCACACATCAGAGGGATATTGCACAGTTTGATTACTGTCAGCTCAATCTGTTTGAAGAGGAGGGCAATCAGAAAAACCTCCCAGTCAAGCAGTCAGTTAGGTAACAAATTATTAAAGAGGTTAGGATGGTAATCGATAAAAAAGCTCTGCTTCTCTAAATGTGAGTTGAAGGAACTTATGCAATCGGTATGATTCTCTCCACAGGAGCGTGTGGTGAAAGGAGTCAGAGGAGCTGCTTCTGCACCGCCGGATTCTGCCTTTTTGATTGGCTCCTATAGTTTGGACAAAGACGTGCTGAAGAGGCTGGGGATCGGACTCGCACTGGCAGCAGCCATTTTGGCCTTTATTGTGGAGAAGTTATACTGAAACAAACACAATCGATATCAGTATCTTAGGTTTACACTCAAAACACTTTTATACGAGCAGATACGGGACAAAGGAAAAGGCAAAATGTTTTAATCGACAGAATGATTACATCTTGACTTTGTCCATTGAAGGATAAAAATGTTTTGGAGAATTATAATTTTTCTTTTTAGTTTCGGGTTCTGTTTTACAGAAAAATAAATCACAACTCAGCAAATATGTTTTGGAGGACTGAACTACTGTTGCTTATGTAATTATTCATTCATGCCAAAATATTTATTTAAAAGAAACTTTTTTTTTCTAGCGACATGACAAATCTCATTTAGGATATTTGAACAAGTTTGTTTCAATATTCAAAATATTTGTCTTTTTCTTCTGGTTAAAAATTAAATCAACTGTAAAACATTAAATGATAACAAAACCATCACACCATAATTTTCTCTCAGTTTGTTGCCACAACACAGTCATTTGTTTTCTCTGAATGTGTTTACCTACTCTGCTTCTTATATTAAAGAGTGTTTCATATTCTCTCCTTTATTTATAGCTGTATTTACTTTATACCATCTCATGATATAATTTACCAGCTGAAAACAGTTTTCTGTAGGAACATATCCTGTTTCAATAATATCCCTTTTTTTCTTGATAAATCAAAGAAGTGAAAGACCACAGTACAATTTTGGAACAAAATTTAGATTATTATTTTTTTTTTTTATTATTTGAACAGTATCACAAATGCATCCATAACATGGATGAGTTTAAGCTAAAGTCAGTTTTATTAAGAAGCAGCTTTAAGAACAAAAGTGGTTGACCAAAGTTTTGTACACATAAAAAGTCCATAAATCTAGACAAGTCAATAAGAAAATACAACTAAAATAGCACAATAAAAATACAGACTTTCAAAGAAAGTGTGTTGTCAAAATAACTCCCAGGTTTTGTGAAAAAGGGGGTGGTGATGTAAAAAGGATTACATCTGTTTTATTTTAATTTGTCATAAAGTTTAGTGCCATGTATAATTTTACGCCATCCACACAGTCCAACAGGGCAGTCAAAAGGGTCAAAATGTTCTCTCCAAAGAAAAGGACACTTCTTTTAAATCATTTTCATTGGCTTTATCAGCTTATTTTAATTTTTAATGATTACATTATTATCTTCAGTTCTGGTAAAATCACATCCACATTGAGGTAAATAGATGAAATACTTGTGAAATGAGAAACATTTTCCTGTTAATCTTCTGCTCTGTTGGTACTTCCATGAAACAGATTTCTGACATTTTTATTTTCATTAGATAGCTAATATGCACTCTAAAATATTAATCATTTTGTTAATAATAGTTTTTACAATTTCTACATCATGTCCCTTTTCTGCAATGTTGCCAACATGTACAATAATGATAAATCCAGACTCTTGACTGGTCTGCTTTTTGCTGTAGCTTCTACAGTAGACTGCACAGTCACGTGGTCAAGGCTCACTCCAGCTATTCTGTGGACCTCCATGAGTTGACCAAGAGTGAGAGGAGAATGACCCTGCAGAACCGTGGATTCGTCAAATTGGTATGCCGGAAGTCTATGGCCTTGTTTAGCACTTTCCGAGCAAATACTGTGACATTATTTTCAAAAAACCCAATAAGGAATAGAGAATATTAAATATATAGAAAACCATGAACCAAATAGAATATAAATAGATCTAGGCAGCATTGGGAGAGACTAAATTTAACTTTCGGCAGTCCTAGAGACTTCAGAGCTTAAAAAAAGCTGATTTTACATGATGTGGCCCCTTTTAGGAAAATGTGTAGATCTGTGAATCATTAGCATTACTTGAGAAAATAAATTTATTGGTTCCTCCAAGTTTAAATAAATGGTAGCTTATAAAAAATAACAGAAGTGGACCAAAAATGGAGCCTTGTGGCACCCCACAGGTGAAGTAAGAGCCCCAGTGCAACTGTAGGTCCAGTTATTAAAGATCTAAACTTCTATTAAGCTATCATGAGAGCTATTTTATGGATAAGTAAAAAAAAAAATGATATTCACCGTATTGAACTAAATTTCTGAGCATTCTTTGAAACACCTAGTTTGTGCGCGGAGAACATGGAACATATTCACTGTCAGAAGTTATCAGGTCTATTTTTAATTTTTTCAAACATCCAGAGCACTTCAATAAAACCTTAAATCAGTTTGCCATGAGGAGAACTGTCAGAGTGTTGATTGATTTATTGATTCATTAAATGTCTGTCAAGTTGCTACCATAAATAATTCTGCCGCTGTTTGTTTTGAGAGCAGAGCGTCCCAGCCGACATTTAATAATGCATGGCCCGATTTCTGTCCTGCCGTTCTGCCTCACGTCTCTGTAAGTACGACTGCATTCTAATCTGTGTGTGTGTATCCTCCCCACTCACAATCCAAGCAACAGATTGGTTTAACTTCCTCACCTTGTTTGATCCGTCTGAATATGGATTTTTGCACATCTTCACAGTTGTGTTTTTAGATTCCTCTGATGCTTCATTTAGTTGAAAGAATGTGTGCACGCCTCACGAGTGGCAGGACTCATCACACTCTCGTCCTTTTTGTTTGACGCTTTTAGCCTTCACACACACAAACGCACGCACTGACTTTGTGTGTGAAGTGAAGCATGCATGTTATACAGTCAGTAGACAAACAGATGCACTCAGCTGATGCACATATCTCACACAAACATCACAGCAACGCTTCGTAGTTTTGGGCGAATGATGCATGCCGAGCAAACTCTCACACAAACGCAGGCGCCCAATCAAAAGACGCATGTTGTACGCAGACGCGCACACACACAGGCATTGTATTATGTGATCAAATGATTTGTGTAGCTGTGGAGCTTGTTACATCCATCCAGTAGAGCCTTACATGATTCTGCTGCTACCCATACAGCTCTTTTGATGCTTTGTAAGCACATTTCAACTCGGTGGATGTCAGCTGCGCGGCATTGTTCTCCGGTGAAATATGAATGCAACAACGCCCTTTATATTTGGGAGATCATCGCTTACTTTGAAATATTGAGGCAGGAACCGTCGAAAGACGATCATTATTCACTTTGCATCATCCACTTCAATTGCTTCTAATAAAAGCGGGAGTTCTGAGTTCTCGTCTCGGTGGCAGCTGTTGTCAATTTGTCTTCGACGCAGCGATGTCCATTTGATGTGGAACCGAGAAACTTTGGACTCGAGACGAATGAAAGTGAAGTTGAACATTAATGTGCTTTATGGAGACATCTCTGAAGTGCGTTATCATCTAATGTCATTGATTTAAGTTTTTGAGGTTTTGTGCTGTGTGATGAAGCGTAGGAATGTTGCTGATGCTCAAAATAAGGATGTAAATCTTAGAAGGTGACTTCTTTTAATAAGCTGAGTGCAATGAGCCCTCGCTAAGTCTGGATTCTGCGTGTAAAACAGCAGAACGTGTTGTGTTTAAAATCAGATGAAGTGTTGTAGAAGCTCAGATTTAATGGCAAACTGACAAAAAGTTTTTCTCAGGCTTTTTATGTTATTGACAGCATTTGCCTTTTAGCAGTTTTGCTGTGACAGAGGCTAACAATTGGAGCACATTAGAGTGTAAACGATCACTCCGTTTTTATCTGCACATGTGCTGACATGTAAAACCCTGACTCAGCGTTTTCATGTAACCACAGGGTTTATCTTCTCTGGGGCCGTTCATTGATTTCTGACTGTGAACACAAGTAGAGGAGCAAAACTCTGAAATACTTGCGTAAAACTTTCCAGTACCGTCTAAATATTAACAGTCCCACTAACGGTGATTTAAACATTGTGTAGCAAAATGTAGATAGTCTTAAAGGGACAGTTCAGATAGTTTGAAGTGTTGTAGATAACTTCTTGAACGTTTTCAACTTGGAGAAAGTGAGTTCAATGTAGGGCTGGGTGGTATGACCTCAAATTCATACCATGGTATAAGTTGAACCCTTCACGGTAACGGTATATATCGCGGTGGAGAATTATCATAAAAAGTTATGATGTAATTTTAGAGCATTTTGTTTGCAGAAAACTGTAATCTTAATCAAACCCAACATTTTTGCGTTATTATCTGCCTGCCAAACAATGAGCTTCTCCCTGCTGAGCATATCAGCTGCTGCTCATCTTCATTATCAGAGCAGAAGCCGACTTTACATTAGCAAGATGGATTTATGACTGAACGAACGTCCACGTCTTTTTTTAATAATCTCTGTGGGTAACAATATATAAAAAACAAGTATTTTCTCTGACAATTGGGTGTGAAAAACTACAGTTGTTAAAGCTTCGCTCTGCGGGACGTGCAGTGAGAGGAGAGGAGAGGGAGGAGGAAAAGATCCTACAACACAACGTAACTTTTCCTACAGCAGGAGGAGGATATTTTGCGGATTTATCCTCTCTATATGTGTTTTAAAACGCTAGAATTTCTTCATTATATTTCGAACTCCTGCTCAGTTGTCTCTGCGCTCAGAGCCCTGTTCACACAGGTACGATAGGACGGTAGAGTATAAATTTCTACTGTAGGCCAACTTCATACCGTTTCTACCGTCTGCCGCATATACCGTGCAGCCCTAGTTCAATACTGAGATGAATGAATTAATGAGTAGTTTATGTTAGAAAACAAATCTAACTACTTACCTTCCTGTCCACCCGCCCACAGTAGATCAAATATCAGTTTTACATAAACATCTAAAATTGTTAAATACAAATTGAACGTCTCTTCCAGCTTCTGTTACCCTTTATTCAGAGCAGAGCAGGGGTTCAGGTCAGCTCAATTAATTTTAGATTAAACTTTAGTTTCAGACTAGATGAGTCATCAACACAAGGATGTCTTTTCACATGTTCACAAATACAAACTGATGCTGCTAAAAAACGCTGAGCTTTGAGCAAAAGTGAAGAATCTTGACATTATATGAGCCGACAGATTCTCTTTAGCTGCCATCTGAAGCCGTGACCTTTTCATTTCTGCCCACCAAAAAAAAAACTAGAATATTTTTCACCTGCTGCTGAGATGTAACCGCTCCTCCTTCAGTGTTTACCTGAAAATATCATTTTCAGATGTTGAAAACGTCAACATGAGAATATAGGAGACGGTTAGATTGCCACGTATGGAAGCAGAAATAAAAGTAGAGGGGTTTTGTTCTCTCCTCCTGCAGGGTTGAGTTGCCACCTGAGCAACACGTATACGAAACGTTTGGGCAGAAACACCTGACTTAATTACTGTTGATGTTTGTCAGATTAACTCTAATTTAGCTCGTTTAATTTTCCATGCTGTCGTTCAGCAGGCCTCTGAATGGTTTCATTAAAAGTTTTTAATTTTTTTTTCTTTTCCTTTTGTGTTTTAGCTTGAAGCCTGAGTGTTTGTGTGTCATTCAGAGCTGCAGAAATGAGACAATCATGCTGCTGCGGCAATTAAATTACCTTTTCTTTTCTTTTCT